CTCGACCTGAGTGGTTAACGATGAAACTGTGATAATTGGTGACCTTGATACGGAGAATTTGCCGGATATAATACAACCAAAAACGGTTTTTTGAGCTATGGGACTACCATTCTCCCTACGATGCGTGTCACCCAGAATGAAATCGTTGCAAACGTCATTACCAAGTAAACTGTCGATACCATGAGGACAATGATATGTCGGATCAGCTAAATCTTTCAGCTTTCAAATGCGACCACATCATAAATATNAGACTGATGTGTTGGATGTCTTGTGCCGCGGAACCCGCTAAAGCACCCTTTAGATAATGTAGGCGTTGGCAGTTGTTGAGCCGGCCGCTATTATGTACGCGAGCGACGAACATTTCTTTAAAGGTTGGCCACTCGATGTAGTCTCCGTCGAAGGTCGGTATTTTGACTTCTGGCAATGGCACTTCATTATTTTGCACTTGAGGGTCATTGGAGGTTAATGTGCTTGCCGAAAGATTGGAAACTTGATTGTGTGACGTTAGTGGGAACGCATTGATGTGGGCTTGTCTGACGACAGACAGCGCGTCAAGATATGCCTCTTCGAAAGTATCGCCAAAGTCTAACGAAATATACGAGTCGATTATCACTTGCCCTAGAGCTGTCAAACTAACGATAGTCAAGTCGACCCATTTCATATGTTTTTCTAAATCCATTTATTTTTTGTTATCTTGCTTTTATAAAATTGTTTATTTTAGCGGCTCACGGTTGAATTTTAGTATCGAGAAATATTGCTAGAAATTCATTAGCCGTGTAAACAGTAAAAAAGCGATTTCAGAAATTTTCCCTGCAATTCGCCTTTCGCAAATAAAAAAATTTCTTTCGAAAGATACTTTACATGCAAGGTGCCACTGCTTATGCAAATGCTTTCTGCAATTTCTCAATTTGACAGTCTTTTGAAGTTCATATATCTGACACGCTCTTAAGACGGCAATGTAACCTCTGCCATTTCCACGCTTAAAATAAAAAATGGCAATTTTAGAAATAATGCCATGAACCAACTAAACAGATCACCCAGAACGGCAACCGCGTATTTGTAATTGCATTTGAGAAAAAATAAATAATAGTTGATAACGCCATTTTTTATTCGGTTGTTTCATTCACACACATGGTTTCATTCACATTCGGCGAAGAAATGACGTCACTGCAAAAAAAAAAACTTTTTTCTCGCACACCGTCATGAAATAATGCTGCCAATTTTTGTTCTCTTAGAACCAATACGAGGAAATATCAAAAGCCCTAGGAAGGAGAATACGCTATCAATGAAACGCTAGTGGCGATAGTACTAAAACTATCGATAGTTACACTGGTCTACAAATTTCAACTTTTTTTCTGCGAATAAGACGGGA